TGAGCAAGCTTCGGGCATTAGTGTAACAGATCCGTAGCCTATTTAAGTGGCTCCATGGTTCACCCAGAGTGGTTTCGCCATCATTCTCTGACGAAGCCTCACAACCCGAAAATTTACAATTTTCAGGTCCTTTTCGCCAGCGTCTAACCTAATTTGTAGTTCTTTTTCGGCTTCCCGTCTTTTTACACGGTCTGCCAACGGCAAGTCCTTTCGGATAAAAACTCCCGAACCCTTTAATTTATGTCCATTCTGTAAAATTAAGTCCCTTTCATTCGAAGATTTGAAAAATACTTTAAGCAGTCTAGATTTATTGGGCTTCAAGTTCGCTAAACTACCTAGTCTATACACCTTTAGCAAGGTGACTCCGGAGATATTTTGAGGCATGAGTTCATTAAGTAGCTGTTTTATCAGGACAATTTCATGCTCAAAACGAGTTTTTGGTTCGGAGCTTTCGCTCTCCTTGATCCTATGAAAAATGACTGATCTGTTACTGTGATCAGTCTTCGATTTTTCGATTACTTTTGTGGGGGCAGGGTTCCCTTTTATATCGTTTTTCTGTTTCTTCCTCACAACCTATACCCATTCGTCAACGTTGCTTGGAGAAGCAACCACAGTCGCGTCAAACATACTATGGGATTCCGGAGGGTTTTCGATGACTTGGGAGGTCAGCTTTTATGTCCCTTTAGAAACTGATCGAGCCTTGCGGTTGCGGCTTTTATGTGTTTCTTTCTGGATACCATTTTGAAAACGTGGGACAGAAGAAAGTTTTTTCCTTGAGTTTTTTGTGCGGACAGAACTCTTTGGAAACTGTTCTCCCTCCTTTGGTCAGTGCGAGTCATCTGTTTTCAAACTCACTTTAGTTTGCCTCACGCCAATTTGCGTGTCAACGGAGCGAGTACTTGATGATGTGTCGCGACCACTCTTGCCAAAACATTTTTTGGCAGCACTAAACAATGAGATGGCCTCGATTAGCAAGCTGTTAGCATCCGAACAGCACTGTTGACAGAGCCATACGCAACCATTCCTACTGAACCGTTTGAAAGCTGCAGGCGTTAAATTTGTGCAAACGTCGTGGTACCATCCTTTGCACTCATCGCACTGCATGCCGCTTTCAACAGGACAACGACAGCCCAGGCGTTGGCAATTACTTTTTTTGCACTGTCCAGTCATTTAAACACGGGTTTTTTTAGAAAGAACTAGATGCAAAAATACTCAGGGACAAAAAATAATCTATGACCAAAAAAAGTGGAAAACTGTGGATCGTTAGAACCAAAAGTACAAAAGTTCATAAGATAGACGAATATCAGCTTCAAATCATTAACTGAGGCCTGTAGTGGATCAGATATTTTGAAATATTCATCATTTTTATAAGAATCATTCTTTATTTTGTTTGAAACAGTAAAAGCGAGTTCTTGTTGTGAAATCAAATCGAAACGTTTGGCGGGTTGGTGTTTTTTATGGTTTTGACTATATTTTCTCGTATCATGATGTCTGATTTATTTATCTTGACTAACCATGTCTTATCACCCTCTCATAATACATCGGTAGTTATTCTCTACAGTGTACAAGGTGGAAAGCCAACATGAGTGCTTAATGTCCTTCTTCAATGTTCAGTGACAAGTGTAGGCCTATCGACCTATATTAATCCTTCCAGTTTGTAACACTGTGGCGGTTCAATTTCGTTTTGAATTTATCAACAGAAGGTGCTGATACTTCTTGGTTCGGTAGAGAATTCCAATAATTTACCTGGTGCGTGAAACAAAACTCCAGACGTAAACGATTTGATCTCGGTATTTGAACTTTCTTCGAATGTCCCTTCAAATGATCAATCCCGACAAACTAATTAAAAGCAAATAAAGACCTTTGCACATTACTAAAGCCTACTTATGAAGTCCCGTTTGATTAATGGAGTAGAAATAAGATTATAAATTAGTTTGAAGTGGTAGGAATAAGAGTTTGAACTAGAACTAGTTGTAACGATTCACATTCCTGGTTTTAATCATTAACTGAGTTCACCTATGATGCCAAGATGCTAATTAATCATACGGATAAATAAAGTCTGCGCCAAAGTTTGAAACTCACTGTCTAAATATTATAATCTTATTAATGATTCTTTTACTCTCTGTCAACTGTTACGGTATGGTTCCAGGTTTTTAACGTTGCGATGGATGTTTGTTGGTAACCTTAAAAAGCACAAGGTCTGGAAAACCGTCATTTTAGAGGGTTAGACCTCAAATTATCAACCAACATACAAATTCTTTGTACGAAGACCGTGTTGTACGTAAACAGTCAACTAACGAATGCATCTTGAATCAATTTCTTTTGCTGCTCTTCGGTGTTGTTATTTTGAAACTACACTGTTCCCCTCCGCGACTTGGGGTAAACATATCCATCTAGCCGATCAATAAAATTAAGGTACCGCCTCATATATTTTTGCGCATAATTAAAAGCGTAGTTTTAGAAGGATTGTATGTTATTACTGGCGGATTGAAAAATAGCTATATTTGGTTCCTGAAATGCTACGACGCAACATGGCAGTGAATACAGCATGATGCGTAAGCTAAATCACAAGAAATACTTACCGATGCAGATTGTTTATTAAAGCACTTGATTTGATTCATTGTAACCAAATAGCATTTCCCTTACCTTAAATTTCAACCCGATTTTTTATAAGTTTGCAAACAAATGGGTTACGAGGCATCACTGCATTATAGCTGATGTCGGTTCTGGATGTGAACCTTAATCCTTATCCATAATCGTAACATCCAGCCCAAACTTTTATATATCATAGCTGATATCAAATGGTAACGCGAACATGATTATAACACTGATTCAAAACACCACCCAGACTCCTAGTGTGTGAATTCAAACCTTTTTTCCTACCATAGTAAATAATTTAACATGTGAGGAATAATTTATCATTTCAGAACCACTATTCCACTGTTATTCTTTTGCTTTCTATCGTTAATCGTCTTATAACTCCGCGACGTTTCCTGTGTGGATGGTAAGTCGCTCAGGGTCGTCGGTATAGTCCACTCTTACTTAACTTGATATGCACTCGTTCCAGCAAGTTCGCTCCTTTAGGAGAAAGGCTCTCACTATTACTCAAGATATACCGACCTGTAGATAAATCGATTCACCAGGATCATTGCGGTGGTCTTAAAACTATCCACATTGAATAAGGAAAGACATGGAATTGTAACTAAACACCAGGAAGTAAGTACCATTAAATTAATTGATTTGGTCGCCAAAATGATAAGTTGGTTACAGTGTGTTTATCGTATTTGGAGCTTAGGCCCGAATTCAGAGGTAACGCTTACAGGAATAACCGGGTTTCCGAGGCAATTTTACACATTTTGTTAGTTTGGCTATCACTAGTAAGATTATGATCCTTCTAGTGTAGTTAACTTTCGTTTACCATCCTTGGTAGTAGACGAAACATTCACCTACATACGACTCAGGTGTTTGAGACATTATCAAACACTGTTCGGAATAGAAACTAATAGGGGTCCTTACGTGATCATTTTTTATTTTTCAAAAGTGAGGGGAACTATAAATGAAAGGGAAACCAGACGAACACGCCACAGGGTTCTCTAATAAATGCACAGGGAACAAGCTTTTCAAGGAAACAGATCAAGATTGAATTTTGTGGTATTTCACTAGTCTTGAATAGGCAACAGACATCGATGTTGAGACTTTCTAAGGATATAGCCAACCCTATCTGTTGTTCGATCTGCATTAGTGTGGGAAAGTTGAGGGAGGCCAGTTCGAATGATATACGTGGTTACAGAAAGGTTGGTCCACGATTCACATTTAGTGATATTATTCAACTTTCGATCAGTCAGTGACTTGAAATTATTTAGTTAAGACAAAATTCCCACCATAGGCGATCTGCCTAGAGTTAAAAAAATAATTTTTTTGTTTTATTTGAACACATAAATATTGGTACAAGAGGGCACCAAATATATATGCACCACACAAAATTTTCATTTTATTTGTGTGACGGCTGTGATACTGCTCGGGTTCCCAGACAGAAGCAGGTGGTTTTCTTAGAGGACCGCACTTCGAGCCTTCGACCTGAAGATCTGATCCACAAGGCAGTGGAGCATCATGAAGAGATGCAGTCCCATGGTAGCCAGCCGTTGACCAACGATTGGTTCATACGCCATTCGTTCCTTCAGGATACTGGAGCTAGCCCATGTGCACCAATGGTTCGGGATCCGGTTAAAGGAAACGATTTGCTGTCGTCGCACCTCAGCACAGTCAGCAGTACGACCTCTTCGAACCATAAGTTTGCTGCTTTCAGACTTACTGTTCCCCAACGAGCCTACTTGACATGGTAGGACCTAAAGGAATAACTGTCCCACTCAAAGTAACTCGATCGGGTCACTACGATAGGCAAGCCCCACTACAACATCAATATAGTGGCTACGGTGGGGTGTTCATTAAAGACCAATACCCTATATAGATTTCATTCAGTTCATAGGTTTATTTTAAGATTTATGAACAATAAAATGTTTTTTTTGGCTGATTTGAAGTCTCAACTTGAACCGGTCTTATGTTGTGTATGTGTTGGTGATGTATGGTCTCAAACCACAACCTATGAGAAGTAAATCAATATCAACTAGATTGGAATTGTGTTACAACAAATTATTTAGTTTGAACACCATACATGGAATTTCAATACCTTTACAATGGTTTGTGTTAATGACGAATATTCTCTTTAAATATGCTATTTATTTTTTGATATGTAATAGTTCAACATCAAAAACTTCATCTGTAGAACTTATCTTCACTCTATTTAGTGGGGGAGGACAAAGAATAGGATTAAAGTTATTTTGTTCACAGTATTGAAGTTGGAGTCGCGAATTATTAGCACGGTATACAAACGTATCAGCGTGCTTGCTCATTTAAAATTTTTATGTGTTGTGAACTCCATGGAAAGTTAAGAGCGACCAACTTAACCAAATTAAAAACTTCTAGATCGAATGATAACTTATTATTTCAACTCTTCGAAAAAGTTGATTAGATATTTAAGAAATAGATGACGCTGTCGTAACACTAAAATAGATAGGTTTATCCAATTTATTAAATTATTACAGTCGTATGGTAATTGCTTTTGCTACCAGCGAATAATGAATCCTTTTATAAATTGCAAACTTTTGTCTAAATTTTTGTTTAAGATTGGTCATGTCAGTTGAGTTACCTGAAGCTAAAGCTGATACCCTCCAAGAAGTCTTCTCAGACAAGTTCCAGTATATCAATCTAGATCATTATAATATTTATCATTTCGAGGAAATTTTGATTGATGGTCGACGATATCAATTCCGATTATCTTCAAAAGGTGATTTAATGACGGTGGTCACGCATATAGCTGGAAGAGCTGTTCTTTTGGTATCTGTATGGACAAATATGGATTATGAGAAACGTTTACGTGAAATCCATCAGCATATTTTAGAAATGGAACGTACTGGAACTATTCCTATCGATTTTCGAGGTATCACTGATTTTAATTTTCCACATTACAAAATATATGGAATCGATTATTTTTAGTGATTTCGTTTCAAATCGTTACTGGTATTCTTATTATTAAATGTTTAACATTAATTGTATTTATCAGGTAATCAGGCTATTGTTTCTGTCACCTGATGTATCGTCTCTCAGTTTACTATTTATTGAATTTACCGAGTCTCATGCATTAATTTACACACTCTCTTTTCACTACCGATTTGAATTGTGAATAAAAGTAAACCCAACAGTTGTATGTTTCAATCTGACTCATTTGAAAACATGTTCTGAATTAGGATTTTCATTTTCTACAAACTTCAGCTAACGGTAACTGAACATCGTTCATATGAATTGAAATTAGTGTATAAGTAATGTATACCTAGTTAATAACTGAACTAAGGTCACAAAAATTTGGGTTATACTAATCGTATACCGTTTAAAATACTCTCCATTTATGACAGTATACTCATCCCATATTCGTTTGAATTGTTGAAAACATCTCTGGAGCTACTTAAAAGCTATACATTTCTGTTACTTCGTCTTTCACACTTTATTGTCCGTATCATTCCATTGTTGCTCTCACATGACCATTTTGAATTTTATGGATCAAAAGAAATCACATGGAACTCAGTCTAGCTGGGAATAAAGGTTATCTAATATGATGAATCAATTATTAGACAGAAACTCACGAACAATCACTTATGAATGTGCAGGTGCATTGTTGTAATTCAATAGTCATCCATCAGTATCACACAAATCCTATCTAATTTGAAGGTGTTAAGAATTTTTACATAAGGACAGCATTTTCGAACGAATTTGTTTATAGATATCGAAATAAATTTTATAGTAGTTTCACTTTATTTATTATTATATGTACTTGGCATATTATGGTCGATGGATTTCAGTCAGAACTTGGATTTAAATAACCAGATGTCTGATTCAACCATAATTCACTGAGCTGTCATATTTATTTATTTATTTTAACACAGATATCGGTACATATGCGCCACACAGATCTCATTTGATGTGTGTAGGCTGTGATACTGCCCGGGTGCCGAAACCGAAGCAGGTGGTTTTCTTAGGGGGCCACACCCCGAGGCTTTGACCTAAAGATCTGATCCACAAGCCAATGGAGCATCGTAAGGAGATGCAGTCCCATGGTAGCCGTTGACCAACGATTGGTTCATACGCCATTTGTTCCCGCAGGATACTGGAGCCCATGTGCACCATTGGTTTAAGATCCGGTTAAAGCGCCGGACATTCGCTTTTCGTCCTCTCAATTTCGTAAACAACAGTAATGCAACGAGAAGGCAGTGAGTAGGACTTCCCTGGCAGAGACTGTATACGCGTGGCCATATGAGAGCATTTGGAGAGGGAGAGCGGACTCCCCCCACTCTCGGCCATACCAGGGCATTTGGGGAAATGATTATTAACCATGTGCTTTAATGAAATCTATCTCAGTAACCAATTATAAATTGGTGTATTCGACTTTCAGCCATACTTTTATGTAAGGTCTAATGATACCTGCTATTTGTGTGTCTAAATTAGAGCTGGATCAGCGTTTAGATCAATCACTTCAATAATAATTAAAATATACTGTTATTAATCATTTACCGACTGTAGGCAGAAAAACATTGATAAAGATATTTTTTTTGTAAATAAATTGATCGTTTTGACCCAAATTAGTTTTTTGATATTTTTGTAATAAAACCTACATAGATGAAAAAAATGATTGATTGTCGAAAATTAGTGTATATTTTCATTAGCCCCCAAATACCCTGGTACAGCCGAAAGTGTGAAGGGTCAGCTCTCTCGAAATACTCTCACATGGTCACGTGCATACAAGTACTATCAGGGAAGTCCTACTCACTGCCTTCTTGTCGCACTACTGTTGTTTACGAAATTGAGAGAACAAAAAGCGACTGACCGGAGCTTTAACCGGGTTGATGGACATGGAGAGTCCACCTAGGGGATTTGGAAAACCCTAATTCCATACCAATGGTCTACATGGGCTCCAGTATTCTGAGGGAACAAATTGCGTATGAACAAATTATTGGTCATGGACTACCATGGGACTGCATCTCCTTACGATGCTCCACTGCCTTATAGATCAGACCTTTAGGTCGAAGGTTCCAGGTGTGGCTCCCTAAGAAAACCACCTGTTTCAGTTTGGGCACCCGGGTAGTATCTTATCCCTCACACAATTCGAATTATTTATGTGGCGCATATGTATTTGGTGCCTCCTTGTACCAATGTTTATGTGTTTAATTTAATAATAAATCATTGGATATCATTATTTGTCAACTAACCTAGTTCATAAATTCACAATGGAAAATCATAAATGGATCCAAAATATAAGTACATATGGTACACATTTCAATGTGAACGAATTCAAAGCATACGTTTATAAAGAAGGAATACAAAAAATGACACAGGTTTAGTAAATAATATAAAATTAGTGAGTACCGTATTTTTTGATCACATATACAAATAGCAGTTTGATTAAATTCACCTTTCGTTATAGACCCAGGAAAATTGAAAGGTCTTCGTGAGAAAATATTCAGATAGATCTAGTCAATCAAACCTATTGATCCGTTACATTTGATGATGAGGTAATTTTTATGATTCTGTTAACTAGTAGACTGATCAACAACTAGATGACCCACAGAAATTTTCACTTGAAAATAATCTGAGACTTTATTTATTTTTTTTTTCTGTTGTATCCCAATCCAAATCAATCGTGTAGCTTATTAATACCTTTAAAAAAGTATATGTCAGAGTTTTTTGAATACCGAATGTAGATTACTTTATAGGCATTTGTCTTCCCTAATGTCAGATAGTTCCTTTATAACATGTTTCAAGAATTACATAGTTGTGATGTAAGTAGGTCATTCAAAGTCATAAAAGTATCATAAGTTAGCTAGTTCAGTCTCTTGTTATTGTATAATAGGTTAGATTTGCTGTGACTAATTTATTGTTTAATTTAATTGATGAACATATTCATTCGAATATGCCCTGGTACGGCGGAGAGTGGGGAAAGTCCACTCTCCCTCTCGAAATGCTCTAAAATGGCCACGCGTATATGGCCTCTGCCAGGGAAGTCCTATTTATTTTTATTTATTTATTTTAACACATAGATATTGGTCCAGGGAGGCCAGGGAAGTCCTACTCACTACCTTCTCGCACCACGGGTGTTGTCTACGAAAATAAGAGGACGAAAAGCGAATGTCCGGCGCTTTAACCGGATCCAAAACCAATGGTGCACATGGGCTAGCTCCAGTATCCTGAAGGAACAAATGGCGTATGAACCAATCGTTGGTCACTGGCTACCATGGGACTGCATCTCTTTATGATGCTCCACTGCCTTATGGATCAGACCTTTAGGTCGAACGTTCCAGGTGTGGCTCCCTAAGAAAACCACCTGTTTCGGTTTGGACACCCTGGTAATATGACATCCCTCGCACAAACCAAATGAGATTTGTGTGGCGCATATGTATTTGGTGCCTCCTTGTACCAATATCTATGTGTTAAAATATCAATAATAATAAAACTTAATTTATGATTGTGTATGCGTATACATTTGAGTAAAATATATGAAGGTGAAAAAAACATAACTTTCATGTTATTTTTGTCTCTAGTTTTATAAATTAAAAAGGTACGTATTATTTAAATTTACTTGGTATTATTTACTTGAATCTTCCTATCACTGTTTAGGACTGCAATTGTTCATCAGTCTCTTATTGGCATATGTGCATACTGTGCATATTGCCTCGATATTGCCTTAATTCACAAGCATTATAAGCAAAGATGGTGTTTGAAGCAAATGGTACTGTATTCGAGTCCCAGAATGAATATCAACTCTGAGACGCAGGTTTATTCAGCTGACGAGTCCCAAATAGTACGAAACACGCGTCAAACTGGATTCCACTGCTAGCCACTATCCATCTTTGCTTATAATGTACGTATTATTTGTTTCAATACTTTTTAGTACGGATATAATACACTTTTCGGCGAGACTCTAATTTAAGGACGACCTTTCAACGAGTTTTAAGTGACCGCGAGAATATTAGCCAATCAGAAGACAGTTCGTATAAAGTAAAAATATATTAGAAGAAACTAATGAATTACAGTGGATATACTTTTACATGATTTAAAAACTTGTTAAGGTTTGATAAAGGTTCAGATGTTTCGAAATCATATTGCATACGGTATAAAAACTCATCCATATGGCTCCACAATAGTTGACCTCTGGAGCCGTGATACGGTCTTAAAAAGTCCTTCAATCTTGACCACATGGCTTCAATATTATTGGTATGAACGCCGGTTGTAGGGTCGACGAAATGACGTTTGTGCACTACGACGTGATGGACATACCCAAGTATATGAAGGCATCTATGCGCTCTCCAATCATGCGTATATACCGTACTGCCCGGTATTATTGTGTTTGCTTGCCGGTTTCTGACCTTCTGAGAATGCCCCTTTCGAGTTGATCGATCATAAATTCCAAGTACCTGTCCAGTATATTTACGGAAATGCTACTTACCCAATCTTCCTTTATACTACATCCCCTGTTGTATTTTCGCTTTCTCACTACTGTCTCATCTATCTCCACGATACATCCTACTCCTCCGAATGATTGGTGTATACGTATCATTTTAGTTGCGCATATGTCACGGCAGTACTCATACCACTGGACTGCTGAAGTTTCAGTGACATCTGCAAACGCCGCAGCAAGTGTTACTGGTGTCTTTATTACCCAATTTGCAACTATTATCATGATCTGCCTCAATTTCAGTCGCGATCGAGCGAAAAAGTCCCCGTTCGAGCAGACTTTTTCCTCCAACATGAAAAACAACGGAATATAATCTCACCACGGTGATCTGCACACTTTACTGCAGTCATTTGATAACCGCAGTCGCACGTACAAGAACTTCTTAGTAGTCCCATGTCTTGTAGCCTCTCAATAATAACCTCTCCTCTAAAATCGCTGTAAACCGATCGTATGTGAGCATCACGTGTTAAACTTCGCTCCGTGACCTTGAAATGGCTCAAACGCTTCTGATTGGCCCGTCCTTAAATTAGAGTCTCGCCGTGATTTTCTACTGACAACAAAATAGATTCAGCCGGCAAACAAGGTGGATTGATTTCAAAACTTTCACATTTTCCAGGTAGTACAGTTTTCTGCATTAACAGTTGGCATTACTTCATATAGAACAAGTCGCTTTTGTCTAAAAAATGAGTAGATTTCCGGTAACTGGTCAAGTGTTGGTTTCACTGCTGTCTACCAGTATCTAGATATTGATTGATGTATCATCAATAATAACACTATCAATGAAACTTTAAGATTTGTATGTTGTTCTGTAAATAGGGTTTAAGTGTTTTGTTATGATCATAGACATCCAATTCAGATACACACACTTCCCATACACTTAAACGACAAGTTATGCAAGTGAGGGGACTGAAATGACTTCCACCTAATTTTCACGGGCTTATATAAGATTGTCAGGTTATGCTATTATTTTTAAACAAATTTACTTGTAAACAAATTAAGTTTTCTGTAATAGTTAATGCTTTCAACTTGCAATCGCTAGTTCTCAAATTCAAATCGCATTGCATTTACTTTGGTTTAACTAATAGTCGGCTAGTATCACTAACCATCGTCCAATTAAAGTATAACTTGACCATTTACATAAATTTGTATACTTACCAATTGTATTAAAAAGAACTACTTTATTTCATCAATGAGTAGTTATTCTAATTACTCATGTTTCCACATTATATCTTATGAAAATGTAATCGAATAGTTGTCTTATATTCATATTTGTTTACCTCCTTTTAGGTATGCTTGGTCGAGGAGGTGGTGGAAATGAACAAACGGTATCATAATTCTTAACTTGTCTCACCCACCCACCCTCTCTCTCTCTCTCTCTCTCTCTCTCTCTCTATATATATATATATATATATATATATATATATATATATATATATATATATTTAATGTATTTAAACTGTATCGTGCACTTTTGTTTTTATTCTTTTAAATTATGTTTCCTTGTCTTGTACATATGTATATTTTTAGAAATACGATCTGTTATTATAAAAAATGTTATTTTTCCTTTATACCTTATGTAATATGATTGCATAGTTACTTATTTTTTTTAGGAAGATTGTCTCAGATT